ATATATATATATATATATATATATATATATATATATATATATATATATATATATATATAATTTCTTTAAATTTTACAATTTTTCACATGTTATACCATAATTATAGTCAATATTATATGCAGCTACGATCATTCTATGCCTATAACTGAGGTGTATGTAATTGTTTTATTAATAATCTGTATTTCATTGTTTTTGTTCTGCCAGTGATAGGTGATGATAGTAATCTCAATGTTTTTTATGTGGATTATTTTCTTCGAACTGTGTTTTGTAATCAATAATTGTAACTCGCTAATATCGACTTTTCCAATTGAATTTGTCAAAATATAGTAAAAAATATGAAAATAATCCTGGAACTGTTAGCGTCTTCCGAGTTATCATCTGTAATTGTAAATTAAATACAAGTGTAATCATAGTCGGCAATAAAATATAGATCTTTTAATAGTACACATTCGTTAGTAAATATGTATTATGTTTTTCTTTCCTGATTTTGTGCGAAATTGTAGTTCATGCTGTATTTAACGAAAGAATATATACGATTGTATAAATATATCCGTTATATATCGCCCCTATTGTTGCATTTTACGATTTTCCACCTCATTTTCCACGATTAACAGTAAGTATAGTATAAAAGAGCTTTCTAATCGTATTATAAGAATGCGTAATAAACAAAGTACTATAACTACTCACGTTGAAAAAAAATATATTTTAATTTGATATTTTAGGCCAAAGAATTGCCAAAGAAAGATATAATCAATCAGATAGAATCCTCTGTGTTCTATCTCCCACAAGAACAATCTAACAACGTCCGTATGTTAACAGCTAACATACTACAGAAATTCAAATTACCAAAACAGAACCTGATCAAACCAGAATATTACGTTCTAAGATAACTAAACCAGGATATGGATATCATCATCTTTCCAGCGGACGAAGATAACACAACTGTGAACAAAGAAGATTATAACAAAAAAATACAGGAACCCTTCACACACGATACCTACTAGAAATTGAAGAACAACCCCATCTAATCCTTAAAAGCCCAAACAACGAAACTTATAAAGAACAGTACTCTCCCAGACAGAACAGAAATTACCCTAATCCCCAAAAACACAACGCATCCAAGACTATACAGCTTTCCAAGGTCTACAAAACCAATATAACACTCAGATCTATAATCAGCGACATAAACTCCTCGTCATAAAAAAACTGACACGCTTTTTAATTAGTAAACGAACCTGTCAGCAAAAACACCCCCTACACGGTCAGAAACTTGGCGGATATCATGCAGAAAGTATAAGTGTTCTAACTTTAATCAAACGACATCCTGGTAAGTTTCGACATATAATTTGTAACCGCGATACGTCGCGTTCTGAATTACGCTCACCGGTTCAGGTTCGTAGGGGGTGGAATAATGTTGAAACAATTGTATTAAAAATAAACTACTGGTTGTATATTTAAAATCAGCTGTTGCGATACATTAAACTAGATGTTGGATGTCGACACCGTTGGTTTTCGGTATACAAGCTGTCAGAGGCTTTGTTTAGGTGATGGCTCACCAGATGCTTTGCGCGGTGCGCGGGACGTGGACGGTGTTGTTGTCGCGTCGTGAATCCGCCTGCTGATGATCTCAGCTTCTCGACTCTTTAAATTCCAGTTGACAATTATCCCTATTAGCTGCTCTTCGATGCAGCGCGGCATAAGCGTTATTTCCGCGGAGCTGGGTTCGGTGGGTCGCCTTGGCAGTGGATACAATGAAGCCTCGAGTATCTCAGATATTGGGTGAGTGCAGTCAGACATGCAGGATTCACACCGCGTCCGATGTCCGACGTACGACGTCCGATATACAATAAAAAAATAGCATTCCAATGGAGAATTGAATTCTATATTAGAAAGTTGTTTTTCTATTGGATGTGGGACATCGTAAGTCGAACATCGGACGCGGTGTGAATCCTGCAAGAGGCTGCTGTGGCAGTCCGTCTTTGCGCGGAACCTTAGTTGGCTTTGTTGCCTTAGTTGTCGAACTAGGCCGACTCGTTCGTGCAAGATCATGGATGCGGTAGATACGGTGTCGCGGACGCGCCTATGCACTCCGGTAGCGAAGTGATCCCGATCTTGCTTCCCGGGCTCGGTCTCTAGTACTTCGGAGGCCGACTCGCGAATCGACGGCGAATATCATTTCGCGGATTCGTATGACACGGTGTCGAAACTGCGCTGCAACGAAGTGAGGTTTCGACGTTCCGGACATGAGTTCGCACGCTGCGAATCGATAACGGTGTGATTTCGCTCGCGTTAAAGCGAAGGCGAGATCCGATTAGAGTGGTGAAGGTTGCGTTAAGCGCCCTTCCGGCAGATTGATTGCAGGCCCTTTGGTGGCCCTGGAATTTTCTGGATTACGGTAGTTACTTCATTGTCGGCGTCACGAATTCGTAAGCCGATGGCGGAGTGACTCCTGTCGCGTATTCGCGAACAGAGATCCACCAGAGATCGGTGTGCGAGAAGATGGTGTAGTAATTTTTCTTGGTATCGGATGTTCGGATCTCTCTAACGATACCTCCATGCCGAATCATACTATCACCCAGCTCAAAAACAATCGTTCCTCGATTCGTTAATACATAGCATTAACCACTTGCGACATGAACAGCACCCAAAGCGAACTCAAGGATTTAAAAAATACTTTCCAAATAATGGTTGCACGACAACACAGATAAACAAAACAATCGGGAAACATCAAACCAAAAGACATTAAAACACACGGACTGAACAACTCCAATGACAGACAAAAGAATACAACTTCATCAATACTTTCCTTCCATACATAGGGGAAATTACAGGCAAAATTGGCAGAATCCTGAGAAAACACAATATCAAAACCATCTACAAACCACCAACGAAAATAGGACAGTATCTGAACAGCCCAAGAGACATAAGACCTGCACTAGACACTCCTGGAGTATATAGAGTCCCCTGCTCCTATGGCAAAGATTATATTGTGGAAACCGGTGGGATGGTAAGCACACGTATAAAGGGACATCAAAGCGCAGTCAAACTGAAAAATGTAACGCAGCACTAGCGGAACACAATCTAGAAAGCGGACACAAAATACTATTCAACGAAATAACAGTATTGGCCGAAGCCAACAACTTCTTCCCTAGAAAATACAGGGAATCCTTGGAAATTCAAAGCACCCCAATAATATCAATTGGGATAATGGACAAAAATCAGTCCAATCTGGCAATCTGTTCCTTCGATTTTCAAAACATGACAGACAACAAATTTTCCACTACCATTACCTCTTGTTACTCTCTCCACCTTCCTGTCTCCTCCTTCCCTCTTATACAATGCCAATTATATAAATACTAATATATAATGCTACTATATAAATACTACTATATAATACTATTATATAAAGGAAGACCTCTTAGGAACAACTTGGTATCGGGTCGTTCCTCCTTGAAGAAGCGGACTGCAATGGTCGCGAAATATCGGAATCAAACAAAGATGAATCGCGGCTTAAACCCAGAGACCAAATCAAATACATTTTAATATTCATTTGTTGAAGATAAAATGCAATGTGTGGGATAAGTATATATAAAAATATTTATTTCACAAAAATTTTATATGCCACAAATACATTTTCAAATTTTTTTCTCAGGGCATCTGCTAACCAGTTAGAGCTAAATGGTATCACTAATTTCTACACATTTGTTAAAGTCAAATAATCTATATTGTGATCAGTAAGAAGGATGGTTATTCGTACCGATAATCGAATGATGGAATATTTATATAAAATATCACAGATTCAGAAGGACACATACGATGATGTAACGACAGATTATCAACACGAGAAAAAAAAAGTCATGTTCTTAAGTTGAACAGAATTACTGAACTATTTTAGCAAAATAAAAAAATTATACCAAACAATCTTTGTCCTTATATCATATCATTGAATTATGTGTAATATCGAACATTAGTTTTTGTCGATTTAAAAATTTGTTTACTTGGACTATTCCAATGGACGAACTTCCTTAAATTTAATACAATTCATTATGTCCAAAGAAATTCTTACCAGAACCAAAGGAAAATTTAGAACACGCGTTGTCGCACGTTCCAACATAGAGGATATCATTGATTGATTCTCACCAAGTTTATCGGAACATAGAACACACTGAGATGAACATAATAGTCCTATGCAGTTTTGCAATATTCGCAATAAATATGGAAATATTGATTAAAAAATATGTCAATAATCATGCTCGTCATGTTAAATGAATTGTTGTGGCGCCGTCTGTCGCTTTATACATTATATATTAAAATTGAACATAAACGTCCTTTATCATTTTGCAAGTGACCACATGGATTTTTAGGCAATAATTAAGAAAGGTTTTTGCATTATCGCACACACTCATACAGCACACGTTTTCAAAAGACGTTTTAAAGACATTTACGGGCATCCATATATCCTAAGAATAACTTAGAACATTCTTTGAAGGTTTTGTGCTATTATCTGGGCAAATATATAACGACTTTTTTTATTAATAACTAAAATTTTAGGTGGTTATTTGCAAAATAATTAACTTTTTTGTTCAATTTAATTTAATGTACAAACATACGATAGCTTACATCTTTACAAGAACCAATCTGCCTATTCACTCCTCAATCTCTCATAATGAGTATCTTGGGATTTATTGTAAATATCGCAAAACCGTATGGAACTTTTATGTTCACCTCAAACCAATCTACGTTTCCGCGAACGCTTCGGAGACAAATCTTGGAAATCCTGTATATCCTCTTATCATCTAGAATAATCAACGAATTTTCGGGTAACATTATTTTAATAATTAACCTACTCTCTGTTAGGTCAGGACCGTCAAAATGTTTGTCTCGATTTTCAACAGAATACGTCGAATATATGTAATTTATTGGTAAATTTTATTATATATTGTGACTATGTATATACTATATAATTTTGTATATATTGTTGTGTAAAGATGCGATTCCTACTTGTGATTACTCGATGAATTATCCGCTTCTACAGAATATAATAACAATAATAAAACAAAATTTTTTTGCACAATTGAAGTAAATCTTTTGATTAACACATTACATTAGTCTCGTCCTCGATGATAACATATGTAGTTGTCGCAAGCATGTCAAAAGCTCACAATGTTCAGCGCGTCAAAATTGTCGTGCATTACGTCATCCTATAAGTATCATCTTCTATGCAAAGTCAACAATGTTCACATTGTTTCGCTGTGCTCGAAGACTCGAACATTCTTCGTTTCTCGATACGAGAAATCGTAAACATTAATATATCAAAATTATACGCTGTATCTCGTAGCTATGGGCGGAGGGACACAGCAAGTCACGATTCGCTTGTAACACGGTCGCGCGCGGCCCGAGCGCTCATCTGCTCAAACACAATAATTAATTACTCGGAAACTATTGCGAATTTCGCAAAATGATATTTGACTTTCTTGTTCTGTTTAATCCGTCCTACTTTTCTACTAATTGTATCGAGAAAGTTTTCGGACACCCTGTATATGTAATTTACTTAATTAATTTTCATATATAATTTTTTGTTTTATGTTGTGTGTAAAAATACCATACCTTTATACTGTGAATACTCAATAAATAATATGCTTCTATAGAGTACAATAAAATTAAATTTGTTTTAAAAATTGAAGCAAATTCTGTTTTGATTGACACTTTATACTATATTTTCCATCATCAATTTGTTTCTTTACCAATTCCCAATCGCGAGCGTGATATACGTGCCATCCTAGCGGTGATGAGATCGCGCCTATCACTATATACAATGTTCGCTCGTAAAGGTCTTCATAGACAAGTTGACATAACAGTAACGTAAAGTGTATAATAAAAATTTAATAACAATAATAAATTTTATAATTACAATTTATAATAACAATTATAAATGAATATTCATAAAATTGGCAACATTATGATTCGACAATATTCAATATGATTCATCAATTTTTACGGTACGTGTTACGTTACGGCTACTACAATTTAGATGTTAAGGCTTTAACACATCTGATGTTCTCCGAATCGAAATTTTAGCACAATCTTTGACCTGAACTTCCTAACTTCTGTATTTGCTTGGTTTGAAGGATCTAAAAAATCAGCGTACGCTTCTTTTATGAAAATCTGTTTACACTTTTTCGAATTTACATAAAGTAATATAAAGTATGTTAACATATTAACTATAAACTTAAAATTTATTTGCATTTATTGAACTAATTTTGTTAATTTTTGGGTTATTAAAATTCTACGATGTTTTTTTTAAATAAAATGCAAATATATTTTTCAGCTTACTTGTGACAAGAAAAATACTTAAAATTTACTTTAATTATTTAACTGTCAGTTATATAAAAATTGTTTTATATACAATTATATATAACATTTAATACTCTTTGTTTAACTTTGATTTGCATTTCATTTCGTATGTTTAAAATAATATATTTATATATAAATTATCATTTCATTAAATAAGAGCTATGTTATTTTATTGACAAGAACCAACTAGATTAGTTTCAGGTTTTAAATTATCTACACAAAAAATATTTATAACAAATTACCCGATACTTAAAAACTTAAAAAAGTTTTAGCTTAATCTTTCGTTGAACATCTAAAAGCAGTGATGTAATCACTAGCTCTAATAATATATTTTATACTAATATTTGTCGGATATTTAATGTTGTTCCGTCATTTCAATGTTTGCTCATAAATATATTGTAATATTCTGTGAATACAATAAAAGGATACATTATGAAAGTCCTCAGAACATCTTTAGAACCATTACAATAATCGCAATAACTGCACGATCGCAAAAATTTAAGGAATACGACTAAGCATGTTCCAAACAAAGATGGGTGATTGATTCGTATCAAAGAACACTTTTTTAATGGGTTAGTTAACTTAGAGTGACCTTTCTAATACATTACCGAAATATTTAAAGTTTTGTTAAAAATTACAACAACTTTACTAAAGTAATTTTCTTGGTGAACTTTGCATTTTGTTTAAAATATTTTAAAATTGATATTCATAAGTAATGTATTACGTTTGCACATTGTTTCTCTCCACTAACGAATATTTCTAGTTCGTCATCTTAACAGTTACAATTTATCTTGTCAACAACTTTTTCGATACATATAAACATACTTGTACATTGTTATTAATGTTCTGTGTACTGTTACCGGTTAAACACCTATATATAACCCGTATACATATTTCTGTTACATTTCGTGAGTTGTCGAGCTTCGCGCATTATTTTGAAGTAAATATTACAAATAAACTACTTATAAACGATAATTAATAAGCCGCATTGCGATGAATTTCCCGTTAATATTTCATGGTCCATACACAGAAGACAAATATAATCAGTTTTTCAATCCAAACGTTTGTCATGTTTGCAAACTGCACAGCAGAGACTTGATAACGTGTAATCGGTGCAATATGATTTCTTACTGTTCCAAGGAGCATGAGGCGATACACAGAAATTCACACTCTGAGATCTGCAAAGCTATAGGAAGGGTAATAACAGACAAATCATTCTCGGATATATATCCTAGTTTGGAAAAATGGACAGAATCACGTAAAGGAATTTTACATCAAACACGCTCTAGTCTGTCACGTGGTATACAGCGATACGAAATGGAAATGATATTGTGCGCAAAATCTTGTTGTGTGTGTTTCCGACAGACAAACATATGGCACTGCAACATTTGCTATTCAGCCCATTTTTGTCATGATGACCAAAAGTTATTTAAAGTATTGCACAAGAAGTATTGCCCCCGAGTTGTTGCTATTACTGAATATGAATATCGCCCATATAAACGGCTTTACAGAAGATATTTTTCTTCAAGAAGGATGTAAGCTCACCTCATTTCCTGATGCCAGACCTTATCATGACACTTTTACATTTATTAGCAACTATGTATCCATCATTCGTAATAATCCTGCTCATAGCAGATTAAAGTTAGAAACTTCTTTCCCACTGCCCCCCTGGACAATATATCAATATATATATTCTGATTATGTATCCGGCCCAATGACGTTATATTATGCGTTGCAGGAATCAAATTTAATATCTCTTTCAAAGAATACACGTAAATATATCATTCATGTTATAGATGTAAACAAAACGGATAGTAACGGATAGTAAAGTATTTGAAAATGTGGCATGTTTTCTTACATTTCTTTATACAAACGAAGGAACTGTATATTGTATTTATAAATTCATTAAATTTTGAATCAAGCGATTTAGGATTTGTCTGTACTAAGTGCAAACAGTATAGACAGAAACTTTACATTAGAAACGTATCAGAACAATATCACGATTTTGTACGCTTAGATTCATATGAAAAACCAAATGTAATCATACTGTTTGAAATAGAATGGCTTTTCATAGATATATGGTCTAAATCTTTAGAAACAATAATAGCGCAAGAGTGTCCAGTACTTTTAACTACTGTTTCGGAAAATACAGTACAAGAATGTATAGACAAGATACAAGAACAAACAGGTACAACCAGAAATCGATTACACAGAGAAAATAAATTCCGCGGTTATGTACCACATAGAAATTATACGACTGGTGGATTTTATTACCGAAATGCGCATTTTATTATGTATTCATAAATTTAAATGACATGACCGGCCCAGTCAACGGCTGAAGGTTATGTATTTTTTTATCTTATTTTTATTTTGGCATAGTTAATAGAACTCAATTCTTAATAATATTCGAGAAAAAATTATAAATTTTTTACTGAGGCATATATTTAGTCATAAATTAATAGTATTCTTATAAAAATATATTTGCTCATTTATCAGTATATAATTTATTAGGATATAGTGTGTTAGTATATAGTTTCTCATCTTTTCAAAATATGCAAAATATATCGTATATGAAGTCATAGAATACTGGCCATATAAATATAGTTTCTTTAAATTTTACAATTCTTTACATGCTATACCATAATTATAGTACTATAATATAATTATACCATAATTATGTTATAGTGAATATTAAATGTATCTATGATCATTCTATGCCTATAACTGAGTTGTATGTAATTGTTTTATTAAGAATCTGTATTTCATTGTTTATGTTCTGCAAGTGATAGGTGATGATAGTAATCTCAATATTTTTTATGTGGATTATTTTCTTCAAGCTGTGTTTTGTAATTAATAATTATAACTCGCTAATATCGACTTTTCCAATTGAATTTGTCAAAATATAGTAAAAAATATGAAAACAAACCTGGAACTGTTAGCGTCTCCCGAGTTATTATCTGTAATTGTAAATTAAATACAAGTGTAATCATAGTCGGCAATAAAATATAGATCTTTTAATAGTACACCTTCGTTAGTAAACATGTATTACGTTTTTCTTTCCCGATTTTGTGCGAAATTGTAGTTCATACTGTATTTAACGAAAGTATATATACGATTGTATAATTATATCCGTTATATATCGTCCCTATTGTATAATTTATCCGTTATATATCGTCCCTATTGCACCATTTTAGACGATTAACAGTAAGTATAGTATACAAAAGCTTTCTGGTTGCATTATAAGAATGCGTAATAAACAAAGTATTATAACTAGTCACGTTGAAAAAAAATATATTTTAATTTGATATTTTAGGCTAAATTACCAAAGAAAGATACGATCAGTCAGATAGAAGCCTTCGTGTTCCTTCTCCCACAAGAACAATCTAACAATGTCCGTAAGTTAACAGCCAATGTACTACAGAAATTCAAATTATCAAAACAGAACCTAACCAGACCAGAACGTTACGTTCTATGATAACTGAACCAGAATACGGTCATCATCATCCTTCTAGCGGACGAAGATAACACAACAGTGAACAAAGAAGATTATAACAAGAATATACAGGAATTCCTCACGTACGATACTTACCAGAAATTGAAGAAAAACCCCATCTAATCCTTAAAAGCCCAAACAACGAAATTTATAAAGAACAGTACTCCCAGACAGAACAGAAACTATCCTAATCCCAAAAAACACAACACATCCAAGTCTATACAGCTTTCCAAGGGCTACAAAACCAACATAGCACTCAGATCTATCAGCGACATAAACTTCTCGACATACAAACTGGCACGCTTTTTAATTAGTAAACTGGAACCTGTCAGCAAAAAACCTCCTACACGGTTAGAATCTTGGCGGATTTCATGAAGAAGATATAAGTGTTCCAACTTCAACCAAACGACATCCTGGTAAGTTTCGACATATTATTTGTAACCGCGATACTTCGCGTTCCGAATTACGCTCGCCGGTTCAGGTTCGTAGGAGGTGGAATAATGTTGAAACAATTGTATTAAAAATAAACTTGGTTGTATATTTAAAATCAGCTGCTGCGATACATTAAACCAGATGTTTGATGTCGACACCGGTGGTTTTCGGTATACAAACTGTCAGAAGCTTTGTTTAGGTGATGGCTCACCAGATGCTTTGCGCGGTGCGCGGGACATAGACGGTGTTGTTGTTGCGTCGTGAATCCGTCTGTTGATGATCTCAGTTTCTCGAATCTGTAAATTCCTGTTAACAATTATCTCTATCAGCTGCTCTTCGATTCAGCGCGGTATAAGCGATATTTCCGCAGAGCTGGGTTTGGTGGGTCGCCTTGGCGATGATACACGGATACAATGATGCCTCGAGTATCTCAGATATTGGGTGCGTGCAGTCAGATGCAGGATTCACACCGCATCCGATGTCCGACGTACGACGTCCGATATACAATAAAAAAATAGCTTTCCAATGGAGAATTGAATTCTATATTAGAAAGTTGTTTTCCTATTGGGTGTCGGACGTCGTACGTCGAACATCGGACGCGGTGTGAATCCTGCAAGAGGCTGTTGTGGCAATCCGTCTTTGTGCGCGGAACCTTAGTTGGCTTTGTTGCCTTAGTTGTCGAACGAGGTCGACTCGTTCGTGCAAGATCACGGATGCGGTAGCCACGGTATCGCGGACGTGCTTATGCCCCCCGGTAGCGAAGTGATCCCGATCTTGCTTCCCGGGTGCGGTCTGTAGTACTTCGGAGGCCGATTCGCGTTCTTGCGAATCGACGGTGGTTATCATTTCGCGGATTCGTATGACACGGTGTCGAAGCTGCGCTGCAACGAAGTGAGGCTTCGACGCTTCGGAAGTGAGTTCGCACGCTGCAAATCGATAACGGTATGATTTCGCACGCTGCGAATCGATAACGGTGTAATTTTGCTCGTGTTAAAGCGAAGGCAAGATCCGATTAGCGTTGTGAAGGTCGCGTTAAGCGCTCTTCCGGTAGGTTGATTCCAAGCTCTTTGGTGGCCCTGGAATTTTCTGGATTACGGTAGTTAGTTCATTGTCGGCGTGACGAATCCGTAAGCCGACGGCGGAGTGACTCCTGTCGCGTATTCGCGAACAGAGATCCACCAGAGATCGGTGTGCGAGAAGATAGTGTAGTAATTTTTCTTGCTATCAGAGTTTCGGATCTCTCTAACGATATCTCCATGCCGAATCGTACTATCACCCAGCTAAAAAACAATCGGTCCTCGATACGTTAATACACAGAGCATTAGCCACTTGGAACATGAACAGCACCCAAAGCGAACTGAATGATTTCAAAAATACTTTTCAAAAATGGTTGCACGACAACACAGATAAATAAAACAATCAGAAAACATCAAACCAAAAGACATTAAAACACACGATCTGAACAACTCCAATAACAGACAAAAGAACGAAACTTCATCAATACTTTCTTTCCATACATAGGGGAAATTACAGACAAAATTGGCAGAATCCTGAGAAAACACAATATCAAAACCATCTACAAACCAGCAACGGAAATAGGACAGTATCTGAACAGCCCAAGAGACATAAGACCTGCACTAGACACTCCTGGAGTATATAGAGTCTTCTGCTCCTATGGCAAAGATTATATTGTGGAATTCGGTGGGATTGTGAGCACACGTATAAAGGGACATCAAAGCGCAGTCAAACTGAAAAATGTAACGCAGCACTAGCGGAACATAATATGGGAAGCGGACACAAAACACTATTCAACGAAATAACAGTATTGGCCGAAGCCAACAACTTCTTCACTAGAAAATACAGGGAATCCTTGGAAATTCAAAGCACCCCAACAATATCAATTGGGATAATGGACAAAAAATTAGTCCAATCTGGCAATCTGTTCCTTCGGTTTTCAAAACATGACAGACAACAAATTTTCCACTAACATTACCCCTTGTTACTCTCCCCACATTCCTGTTTCCTCTTTACCTCTTATACAATGCCAATTATATAAATACTACTATATAATGCTATTATATAAATACTACTATAAATATTACTATATAATACTATTATATAAAGGAAGACCTCTTAGGGACAACTTGGTATTGGGTCGTTCCTCCCTTAAGAAGCGGACTGAAATGTTTGCGAAATATCGGAATCAAACAAAGATGAATCGCGGCTTAAACCCAGAGACCAAATCAAATACATTTTAATATTCATTTGTTGAAGATAAAATGCAATGTGGGGGATAAGTATATATAAGAATATTTATTTCACAAAAATTTTATATCCCACAAATACATTTTCAAGTTTTTTTTCTCAGGGCATCTGCTAACCAGTTAGTGCTAAATGGTATCACTAATTTCTACACATTTGTTAAAGTCAAATAATCTAGATTGTAATCAGTAAATAGGATGGTTATTCGTACCCATAATCGAATGATGGAATATTTATAAAAAATATCACAGATTCAGAAGGACACATACGATGATGTAACGACAGATTATCAACACGAGAAAAAAAAGTCAAGTTCTTAAGTTGATCAGAATTACTGAACTATTTTAGCAAAATAAGAAAATTATACCAAACAATCTTTGTCCTTATATCATATCATTGAATTATGTGTAATATCGAACATTAGTTTTTGTCCATATAAAAATTTGTTTACTTGGACTATTCCAATGGACGAACTTCCTTAAATTTAATACAATTCGTTATGTCCAAAGAAATTCTTACCAGAACCGAAGGAAAATTTAGGACAAGCGTTGTCGCACGTTCCAACATAGAGGATATCACTGATTGATTCTCACCAAGTTTATCGGAACAAAGAACACACTGAGATGAACATAATAGTCCTATGCAGTTTTGCAATATTTGCACTAAATATGGAAATATTAATTGAAAAATATGTCAGTAATCATGCTCGACATGTTAAATGTATTGTTGTGGCGCCGTCTGCCGCTTTATACATTATATGTTATGACAAATTGAACATAAACGTCCTTTATCATTTTGCAAGTGACCACATGTATTTTTAGGCAATAATTAAGGAAGGTTTTTGCATTATTGCATACACTTATACAGCACAAACCTGCAACAGATTTTCTGAAGACGTACCAGCCTAGCGGTGGTGAGACCGTGCCTATCACTATATATAATGTTCGCTCGTAAAGGTCTTCATAGACAAGTTGACATAACAGTAACGTAAAGTATATAGTAAAAATTAACAATTATAACCGAATATTCATAAAATTGGCAACATTACGATTCGACAATATTCAATGTGATTCATCAAATTTTACGGTACGTGTTACGTTACGGCTACTACAATTTAGATGTTAAGGCTTTAACACATCTGATGTTCTCCGAATCGAAATTTTAGCACAATCTTTGATCTGAACTTCCTAACTTCTGTATTTGTTTGGTCTGAAGGAGCTAAAGAATCAGCGTACGCTTCTTTCATGAAAATCTGTTTATACCTTTTTGGAATTACATAAAGTATTATAAAGTTTGTTAACAATAATATGGCTAAACTTAAATTTTATTTGAATTTATTGAACTAATTTAGTTAATTTTTGGGTTATTTAAATACTGCGATGTTCTTTTTAAGTAAAATGCAAATATATTTTTCAGTTATATAACTGTAGAAAGTTAGATAAAAGTGTATAAAATTTGTTTAATTCGTTATATGATTACACATAATTTTACACGACATTTTACATACGCACAAATTTGTATATGGCTGCTTGATGCTGCTAATATATAATTATATACAATTCTTCATTATATATAACAATATGGCAAATATGATATTATGCCTATTATGAAAACCTATTTCAAATGTTACAAAATACATTACAAAGTTAATCAAGAAAGACATTTCTGTAAATTTCTGTAAATTTCTGTAAATTTGGTGTAATTTTGGACAACACTTTAAGAACTTCAGTGTTGTGCTATAAAAATCACTTGAAGTGAAATAATTCGTTAGAAAGGAAACATCTTTTAGTCTGAAGCGATCTACGTACTGACCACCTATATACTGATCATACCAAATATTCCTTAAATTTGATGATTGAGCGGCACGCGCTAATCGTAACGGCTTTAACGGTGTTCTTAGGACTTATATAATGTACCTTTATAGTAGTCATGGAACTTTATAATATATTTATTAGCAAACATTGGATTATATTTATTGGCACAATATAATTTTTTATTATATATAATTATATAAATATATATAATTTACATATATATATTTATATACTATATATAACATTTAATATTCTTCGTTTAACTATGGTTTGCATTTTATTTTGTGTGTTTAAAATAATATATTTATATATAAATTATCATTTCATTAAATAAGAGCTCTGTTATCTTGTTGGCCAGAACCAACTAGATTAGTTTCAGGTTCTAAACCAAATA